CAGGGGCGGTGAGAGACTTCACCAGAGACAGAGTGGGGAGCAGAACAGGCAGATCTACGAAGTACACTGCTGAGGGGAACAGCAGGCAGGTCAGGAGAGGTCTGTGGCGCCATGTGGTCACCTGCCGGGCAGGTGGGAATCGAACTCATGCGGAAGTGGCTTTAGCTTCTTAGTGCTGTGCTTTAACCCGCTGCGCCACCAGGGAGGGCCTATTTCTTCTTTTTAAGTAAAAATTCCACAGCATTATTGTCATCTGGTAATAACATAAGAGTAATCAAAGACAGTAGGAACAAATCTTTGAATATTATACCCCTGACAAAAGACACCTAAGAAAACAAACTGTATTGCCATCTCATCAAGTTTCTGACCTTATTGGTCATTTCTAAATGGAGAAACTTTGGAGCAGAGTAATATTATCTCCTTTTAGCATGATCCAACCCCGTTGTTTTCTAGGCATTGTTTGAGATTAAATCTCTTCTGCATCATTTAATATGAGGCTCATGTACTCATCAAAAGCAGTGATACAGCCGTGTAACTGAGTATTCAGTTTCTCATAAAGCCACATCTGGCTCCAAGATCTCTTTTTGCCAGAATCTGAAGACGAGTTTGATGGGCTGCATACTTCCACTCCAGTTCTTTTTGATCCTGGCCATGGTATACCATGGTGAAAGCTCCTAACATCACATTAAAGCCATCTACCACCTGCGAAGCAACTTCAAATTTATCTTACTCTAATTTTAAAATAGTTCCCTGTTTACTAGCATTGGCTAGCTTAGTTTTATAAACATTTATAAGGAACATGTAGAATTCAGGCACTTGGAAAGTAAAGATGAACTGTGCTGATAACAAACTTCAATAACTAGTTTCTTTTTTGCATACTCTGGGTGTCTTACTGTTTCACCTGCACTCCCTGCTCCACATTGTCCTTACCCCAGAAAGTGTGAGCCTCGCTATGCAAACTGTGTGTTCATGCAAAGGGTAAGAGAATCACACGCTAACTCGCAAAGATTCCACTTGGAGTAGGACCTTGTCTTTTTTTTTTTTTTTTAAAGACTTTATTTATTTATGCATACAGAAATGGGGTACAGGCCAGAGGTGCAGGGACAGTGAGAGGGTTCACCACACAGAGCAGGGAGCAGAACAGGAAGATAGATGAAGTACACTGCTGAGGGGA